TAATAATGGACATACACACGGATAGAAATCTCAAAATAATATATGAATGGTAGCCATGGTAATATGGACACACAGACAGACATACATTCTTTCAACTGACTTTATCAATTACCCTATAAATATTACCTAGGTATGTGCTACATATTATGATAGCAAGGACAGCGAAGACATAAAATGTGGTACTTCATTGCAGACTCGAATGCAATATGACCTCGTCTGTTATAATAGCTTCAAAAGTTCAAAACCCATGGTAACCATGGCAACCAAAGGATAAAATAACAATTATGTAATCTACTTTTTTTAGATTCTGAGTGAAACAATGAATGTATTGATTTTACGATGAAGTGTGTTGTTTTTTTTTATTTTTTTAAATTAAAATTTTTTTTTTGTGTCTGTCATCACCTTTTATTACAGTAAAAGTGCTTGGATTTTCTTCAACAGTATCTTTTCTGATAGGAAAGTGAATCTAGTTATAAGTTGGCCTTTGGGGGTCAAAAGTAAAAATTTCCCAATAGTTTTCAAAAGCGACGTGAAACAAAAGAAAAATAAGGAAAAACGGGAATTTTTACTCAAAATCGGTTTTCCATAACATCGATTTTGGTTTTTGGTGCAACTCTAAAACAAATGACCGTAGATATACTGACTGTTTATATTAGCATTTTCTATACACCATAACATTTTCAAATATTTTGACTTATTTTGAACTGTTTAAGAACATTTTCTGTTTCCAATTTTATTTGTCATTTTTTCTACAAATGTCAATAAAACTTTTTTTGTTGGGTAAAAAAACTTGAAAATTTAATAGAAGACTCCTAGTATATTGTTTCAAAGGCAGATGAAAAAAATAAAAAATCCTTATACACAGTTTTTTTTTATAAGCATTTAAAGTTCAAATATTGACAAAATACTGAAAAAACACGAAATCTTGCAAATTATTTTTATAAAAATGTTTCTTTTTAATCTAAGATTTGAAAATACAATACAAGATTTTTCATAAGTTTTTCTACCTTTATCAAAGAATAAAATGTCTACCGGAAAGTGAAATTAAATTTTAATGATCATTTTAAATTCATATTTTTACAAAATTTGTTATTCCCTTGATTTCTCATGTAACGATTTATTATTTTGATATAATCCAAAAACAAATGACCCTAGATACATGTAAATTGCACTGAATGTTTATTTTATCAATTCTTATATTTGATAAAATTTTCAAAATATTTTTAAGCTTTTTGAGATGTTTATTGTCAGTTTTCAATATTTTTTTTCTATGAATTAACAAAACAAAGGTTTCTATAAAACAAATTGTAATTTATACAATAACTAGACATGGTCGTACTCGGGACAACATTTAGGGAGGGTGAGGGTATGAAAATGAATACCATATAATTTTAATGATTAATTATTTATAAGATTACATAATCTTGAAAAACTTCGAGGTGGGTGGTGGTTGAAAACACTAACATTTAACACTGTATTTTGATGAACGCCTTGGTATAATATGAGCATGACGTTTCCAAATTGTCATCAAAACGACCTTAGTGTCTGACAAAATTTAAGGTAGGTACTTCTATAGTTTTGTTCGCTCCAAGCTAATATAGCGTATCGCTGTTTCCTTATCATCTCCCTTCTCTTCAGTCACCTCTCATTAATTGAAATATTAATTATTATTATTTTTGTAATTGTTATAAATATCATTGTTCTTATATTTATTATGATGATTTAAACTGATTATTTTATATTATCTGTCTTTGTTCGCCGATTAATTTAAATTATCTGTTTTGGACACGATATATCAACTGTTTATTATCATTATCAATTTATTGTTTTTCTATAATCTATTATTCGGCTAACGCCCATATTGTTATTGTTATAATAATGTTGCATTTTTGGTCCTCTATTAGATCGATCCCTTTTTTGTATTTTGATTCACTGATTTGCACCAAATGTATTATTACTCTAAGTATTTTGAAATTGTTGATATATTGATATTGATTATGAACTTTACCTGAAATTAATCAATAAAATACGATCTATCAGTGAAAATCAGCCTTTGTCGGTTGTAAAAAAACTGTCTAAAATATAATATTGAAAGTTATACATAACATATTCTTCAAATTACATAATTTTTTGATCTTCATATAGAACATTTTGGTTGACATAATATATTTTTTTTCTGTTAGGTAGATCTTTTTCATTCTTAATTAAAATATGCATGTTTGTATTAAGACTTTACCAACCACAACATTATAAATAATATGGAGTTAACTTTTCATTTAAATATATATCTAGTTTAAAATACCGTACCTGGGAGGTTAGGGGTTTAACCCTTCCAACAAAAATTTTCTTTGATCATGTAAAATGAAAAATAATTATGTATTTAAATATAAAACATTAACATAATATGGTTTTGTCGGTTTTGATGTTCATATAAACCGCTACCACCACCACCATACAAACTTTATTTATAATTTACAAAGTGTAAATTGTTATTTGTAAGTCAAGCAAAGAAAGTTTGACGATACAATAACTTGAAAGTTTTCATGAATTTGATATAAACCCGTCAATATTCTAACTTTAAACTGTTAGGAATAAGAAATATTTTGACAATACAATTTAAAAAATTGTTAATCGGTATTTATACAATTTAGGAGAAACTATTTCAAATTATCTCAAAAAGGGTCAATATATTTTTTGATAAGTATTGACAATCATGTACTTAAAAATCTTCCTAGTAAGTATCAATTTAAATTGTTTATTAATTATTATATTAGTTAGGTTTTTTTAATGACAACTTCTTCTTCAAAACTAACAAAATATTTTAGAAATAATATATATTTTTAGAATTGTATTATGACAGGACACATTGAATTCGTACGTTTTACCAACTGTTGAAGAAGTTATAAAATATTATTATGAAGGTTCTTATGATATATTATCTAACCGGACACTAATTAATCGTTACAGAAATATTGTTTAGTTTGTTGGTACATATGTAAGTTAAAAAAAAATATGAACTACAGTAGTAGTTTCTTCAAGGTGGAGCATAAGTAATTTAACCTTTACAACATTAATAAAGCCTACAAAGAGACTGAATCATCTTGTTATTTTTATCATATTATCAAAATAAAATAATAAATTAATGGTTCTTAAATTACTTTTCCTGTAGAATCCAACAACACTCATGGATAAACTCTAGGATACCTACCTCTTAACAACTCAAAAAGCATACCCATACGTACTTTTAGCTTAGTGATGTCAGACATTAATATTATTGTTTACAGGGGGGAAATAAGGTATGAGCACATTTATTAATAGCATAACCATGATAATAAATAAATAATATAATCATGGTCGAAGGGACAAACCACAATCACAGAATTAATAACAACCAGAAGAAAGCACGGTCTTCTAAGAACGTGGTTAACAGTATGTTTATACATTTTTATAATCTATGGTAATATGATATTGTGTGATATTTCTAGAAAATTATCATCAATACTAAATAACAAGACCGTATTTGAGACTTACATTTCGAAATATGAAGACGTAAGTCGAAATATTCAATTTTAACATTGGATAAAAATCAAAAATGTTCATATTTAGTAATCACCAATATTACTTAATGTATTCAGATATAGAATAAAACTTTTGTAGATTGCATGCTTGTTTAGAAAAAAATATCACATTATTGTACTTTTGGTATGATTTTAAATATGATTTTTTTCTTTTTTTTTACAAATCGTTGTGTAGGTGTTATTATTAAATTTAAATATGTACCTATATGTACAAACTATAGACAGCACAATATTATATCTGCAAAGAATCAAAATAAGGTTTCTAAAAATATGTACCTACCTATGTAATTAATCGTTTTAATTTAAGGTAAATAAATTTAGTTATCTATCTATCTATATATATAAAAATGAATGTATGTCAGTGTGTCAGTGTGTCTGTGTGTCTGTGTGTCCATGTTACCATGGTTACCAAGGTTGCCATGGTTACTAAGGTTTTCCAAGATTTCATATCAATTATATAATATTTTGAAACTTATGGACCTTTTAGTTTTTAAATAGTTACCGTGGGTTTCAAAGCTATAATAATAATAGTTATTGGTTGCCAATGGTTTAACACGTTTGTTATTTATTATAGTGCCTAACGATTCATTTTTATAACTGAATTCAATTGCAACTATTATAAGAATTTCTACTATTATTAGTTAATTTATTATGCCCAACAACAAACGATCGATAAATAGTCCCGCAGTTCTAGCACGCAAGAAGCGGGAAACACGAGCCGCGGAAACAGACGAGCAAAGAGAATCCAGGTTGAGGACCAACCGAGAACGTCAGTCCCTGGCCCGCTTATCCGAGCCAGACGAGCAAAGAGAAGCCAGGTTGAGTACCGACCGAGAACGGCGGTCCCGGGCCCGCTCATCCGAGACTGACGAGCAAAGAGAAGCCAGGTTGAGGACAAACCGAGAATGTCAGTCCCTGGCCCGCTTATCTGAGCCAGACGAGCAAAGAGAAGCCAGGTTGAGTACCGACCGAGAACGGCGGTCCCGGGCCCGCTCATCCGAGACTGACGAGCAAAGAGAAGCCAGGTTGAGGACAAACCGAGAAAGTCAGTCCCTGGCCCGCTTATCCGAGCCAGACGAGCAAAGAGAAACCAGAGTGAGGACAAACCGTGAATGTCAGTCACGGGTCCGCTCATCTGAGACAGACGAGCAAAGAGAAGCCAGGTTGAGGACAAACCGAGAATGTCAGTCTAGGGCGCGCTCATCCGGGACAGACGAGCAAAGAGAAGCCAGGTTGAGGACAAACCGAGAATGTCAGTCACGGGTCCGCTCATCTGAGACAGACGAGCACCGAGAAGCAAGATTGGGGACCATGCGAGTAATGGGTGCTCGATCCAGACGAACCACCGAATTGAACCTTTGTGCACTACACTATGATGCCGATATTAATTACAGCACCCACCCAAGCGTGGCCATCGGAATAATGGATGTACCCTGCAATTATTGTGGAGCATTTAAGTTTAAGAATGAAGCCCCTGGAATGTGCTGTGCTCGGGGTAAGGTTAAACTGCCAGCCCTACATGCACCACCCGAACCATTATCAACGTTGGTGGCAGGCGATACGAGCATATCGAAACATTTTTTAACAAATATCCGTCGATACAATTCGTGTTTCCAAATGACTTCATTTGGGGCAACGAACGTCGTGAGGGATAATTACATGCCAACATTCAAGGTGCAAGGTCAAATCTATCATCGGGCTGGATCATTATTACCCCTGCCAGATATGGAACCTAAATATCTCCAAATATATTTCATGGGGAATAGCGATGACCAAATCGATCAACGTTGTACCCACAATGCGGGCACGAGACGAGAAATTGTCGCTGCATTACAATCTCTATACGATCAACACAACGAATTGATCCGTTTGTTTAGAATTGCCCTTCACCGAATGCCAGCCGATGATTACAGGGTTGTAATACGAGCAGACAAAACACCCCTCGGTCAACACGAGCGCCAATACAATGCACCTACAATTGATGAGGTGGCGATCATTATGGTTGGAGATGAATTCAATTCCCGTGACATAATTCTACATCGCAGGGATGGAAACTCATCGCTCATATGACGGATTGCAATATCCGATTTTATTTTGGCAAGGCGAAGACGGATATCATTTCAACATTAAATTGAGAAATCCGCAAACAGGGGAGGAAACGAATAAGAAGGTCAGTGCCATGAAGTACTATTCGTATCGCTTGATGATTCGGGTAGGCGCCGAAAATCATATCTTGAAATGTAGACAATTGTTTCATCAATATATTGTCGATATGTATGCCAAAATCGAAACCGAGCGTTTACTCTACATTCGGTTGAATCAAACCACGCTGCGTTCGGAAGAATACATTCATTTACGTGATGCCATTGCTATTGATGGCAACGTGAATCCTAATGATTTGGGAAAAATGGTCATTCTCCCGGCCACATTCACGGGGAGCCCAAGGCACATGCATGAATACGCGCAAGACGCCATGACATATGTTCGCGCTTATGGCCGTCCAGATCTGTTCATTACATTCACATGTAATCCTACATGGGACGAAATAAAATTACTATTGTTGCCTGGCCAATCTTCTTCGGATCGCCATGATATTACCGCACGAGTGTTCAAACAGAAGTTGAGATCTTTTATGGATTTCATTGTTAAGCATCAGGTTTTTGGAGAGACACGCTGTTGGATGTATTGCATCGAATGGCAAAAACGGGGATTGCCCCATGCACACATTTTAATCTGGATGATCACAAAATTAACACCAGATATAATTGATCAGCTTATTTCTGCAGAATTACCCGATGGCGACGGAGACCCAGTTTTATTAGAGGTCGTCACAAAAAACATGATTCATGGTCCATGTGGGGCACTCAACCCTTCCTCACCATGCATGTCTGATGGGAAATGCACCAAGCGATACCCGAGAGCTTTGGTTAGTGAGACCATCACCGGGAATGACGGGTATCCACTCTATCGTCGACGATTAATTGAGATTGAGGACATGTGTTTGGAAATCGTTAACAAAGCTCTGGTTCAACTTGGACTGCCTTCGCCGAATCGATCCATCAACGGCCGTTTTAATCGAGATTTGCAACGTGAGCCACAGTTTGACGACGCCGAAATGGGTAGATTTGTTCAAAAGAATCTCCCAAAGTTGGTTACTGAACAACGTATTGCGTACGACAGAATTATGCAGGCAATCAAAAGTAAAAGCGGAGGATTGTATTTCCTGGATGCGCCCGGGGGCACGGGCAAGACTTTCCTAATCTCAATAATTTTGGCAGCGATACGCTCCCAAAACGATACTGCACTGGCTATGGCATCTTCAGGAATTGCAGCAACTCTTCTGGAGGGTGGGCGAACCGCGCATTCAACACTGAAATTACCGTTGAACGTACAATTCACGGAGAGACCAACGTGCAATATCACTAAAAATTCGGGAATCGGGAAAATCCTCCGATCATGTACGATCATTGTGTGGGACGAATGTACAATGGCGCACAAAAAATCATTAGAAGCCCTTGATCGCACCCTAAGAGATTTAAGAGGAAATCCTGGCCTATTATTCGGTGGTGCACTCATTTTGCTGTCCGGTGATTTTCGGCAAACTCTACCGGTAATACCACGTTCAACCCCAGCAGATGAACTCAATGCATGTCTCAAATCTTCAGGTTTGTGGCTGCACGTGCATAAATTGAGCTTGAAGACTAATATGCGGGTACAACTACGGAATGAGGCATCGGCAGATTTGTTCGCAAAACAATTGTTAGATATGGGTAATGGCTTAATGACCGTCGATCAATCAACACAATGCATCACATTGCCGGCCGATTTCTGTAAGATCACGGCTACCGCAGATGAGTTAATTGCAAAGGTCTTCCCGAATCTGCCACAAAATTACAAAAATCTTCAGTGGCTCGGTGCCCGGGCCATATTGGCAGCCAAAAACATCGATGTGAATGCTATCAATTTCAGAATTCAAAACAAGGTACCAGGCGAATTGAAAACTTACAAGTCCATAGACACTGTAACGAGTCAAGACGAGGAAGTCAATTATCCACCTGAATTCTTAAATTCGCTTGATTTGCCAGGCATGCCACCGCACGTTCTATCGTTGAAAATTGGCGTTCCCGTCATTCTTCTACGAAACATCAATCCTCCACGACTCTGTAATGGTACCAGGCTTTCGGTAACGAAATTGATGAACAACATTATCGAGGCTACAATTTTAAACGGAAAGTTTATGGGCGAATATGTAATGTTGCCCCGAATCCCAATGATTCCTACGGATTTGCCCTTCACGTTCAAACGTTTGCAGTTTCCGGTGCGAATCGCTTTTGCCATGACCATCAACAAGGCACAGGGCCAATCACTACAAGTGTGTGGCCTAAATTTGGAAAATCCATGCTTCTCCCATGGACAGCTGTATGTTGCCTGCTCCCGCGTCGGGAGACCGGAAGATTTGTATGTGTACGCCCCAGATGGTAAAACGAGAAATATTGTATATCAGAATGCCCTTCTGTAGTTGGCAAGCGTGAACCTGGGCACAAATGATGGGTAATCCCTTTTTGATTATGTTAATTAACGTTTTGAGATTAATATAATCCGTAAAATACATATGGAGTAGGTATTTTTAATGGGCGACGAGGTGCACGGGTTCAGCTAGTTTAGAATAAAATAACGATTTCATAAATACTTTCTTGATACTTAGTTAAAATGTTTTAGTTGATTGATAAAATGTATCTAATTTTGTCAGTGAAGTAGCAGAACACTTTTTTCTAGTTGTATTTTCTTTTGTTAATTAATAATTGATTACCTATATTTAAAATTATTAACAAGATTTTTTTTTTATAAAGTAGACCGTACTGTGTTTATTGAATCCATAATGATAAATTATATAATTACTGATACAATGAAATTAGTTGGTAATTTAACTACTTATACGTGTGAGTGCAATAATTGCAGTGCATCTATGTATAATGAATAGATAGAAAATTCAACATTACAATAAAAGATGAGTTTGATATAGAAATACGATAAATATATCTTATGAAATTTATTTTAGAATTTATATTGTTGTGTTATTAAATTTGGCAACTTTGTACAATGGTGACATCGTTTTTTGTATTTAATACGCGCAAGGTAAACCAATAAGGTTCGCGCACAATCGTAGTCTACCCGCCCCACTTACGCCACATGGTTGAATCACTTTTCTAAAAACTACTAATTAGATACAGTACCTATATCCAAGCCTGGGCATAAACGCGTTAAAAAGTTAAAAGTTAAGTTAAAAGTTAAGTTAATTTTAACTTTTAACTTAACTTTTTGAAATTTAATTTTCATTAACTTAATTTTTAACTTAACTTATTTTAATTGATATAAACTTAATAAATAACGAGTTACTTTTAATCAAATTCAAGTTAAGTTAATTTATAAATAATTAAATAATAAATATAATAAAAAAAAAATTATTATTGATATTACATAACCATTTATTAGAATAGGAAATTACAAATATAGTTAAATTAATTTCTCGTTCCGTTAACCAGAATTCTTCAAGAAAAATAACTCGATTAAATTCATATAGATATAGCAATATGCAATAGCCAATAGCCAATTATATTATAACATAGAGGTGTATCGTATATTATGTAAAGATATACCGTACCATACAGCGGCATACGGGCATATTGTAATAATAATAATTAATAAATACTAATAACTAATAAGTAATATTATGATAAACCTACTATCTTATTATTTTGATATCGATACAAATCAAAAATGTACAATTCTGAAGAACATAATGTAAAATATTTTCGGCATAAATAGGTTATTTTTAAATTAAAACTAATTGGGTTGTGCCCATGTACATTTATATTTCAAATGTTTATATTTATAAACAGTCAATATTGTCAGTAGAGAAAATATTCATAGCCCACATGGGTTCACTTTTCGTTCTCGGCTCTATCAGCACGCAACACACGATTTCGGATTTACAATACCGCGTTTCAGTGATTTGTGTGAATTGTGTACCTACTATATAATAATTATGGGTAGGTAGAATTATTCTATTAATTCAGTACCTACCTATGTATAGAAAAGCTATTGGCTATTTCATGTGTTCAATAATATTTATGATTTTTATTATTTTAAACCATATTACTGGGTGTTTGTATAGATACAGTAGAACTTCCATGTAACGGTCACCAAAGGGTCTGTAAATAATGACCGCTATTTAGAGGTGACCGTCCTACAGATGTAGGATAACACTCGACGGGACCAAATAAATTGACCATTACATAGAGGTGACCGTTTACGGAAGTTTTACTGTATTATGAAAAAAAAAAAATTAACTTAACTTAAGTTAATAAGTTAATTGAAAATGTTTATATAACTTTTAACTTAACTGAGTTAAAAAAAAATTAGGTTAACTGTTAACTTTAAACTTTTTAAAATGTTTTCCATTAACTTAACTTAACTCAGTTAAAAATTTTCATTAACTTGCCCAGGCTTACCTATATCCTGTGCCCTGTGGTTACTGAAAAAATGAAGTTTCGGTAGCCTGGGTACCATGATGGTGTATGGTTATATTTTATATAATATAACTATAATTTATTATTATTTTACCTCATTCGCACATACGTAATTTTAGGTACTGATAGTGTATGGAACTATGGTAGTGTAGATTGCCGAACATTTGAGGTACTGATCTATCGATATATTTATATTATTATTATTACACCCAGATAATCACCAAACAACTTTAGAAAACGAATTTATTATTTTGTTTATAGGTTTATTCATCCTGGATATGTCTAATATTTTCTCGTGTAGCGATGTTCTTTATTTTGTTGTAACTCAAAAACGATTAACTGTAGATACATGAAAATTTCACTAAATATTTATATTAGCATTTCCTATACACCATACAATTTTGAAAATATTTTGACTCTTTTTGAGCTTTTTACCGACAGTTTTTTTTTCTATAAATATCAATAAGTTTTATCTGTTGGGCCAAAAAGTGTAAAAATTTAATAAAAGGCTCCTGATATACATATTATTGTTACAATATC